AAGAGTATAAACAATAAATAGCATGTTAACCTAAATCTGGAATTAGTTCACTGAAAGAATAACAATACCAGTATGAATCTTGGCAAGAATCCTGACACAAAAACACAGAAAAAGTACCATAACAAAGAACTGTGTCATATGTATATATGTAACTGGTATACATGTATATTACACCAAGCTCTATTTTACCTAGTGTGCAGACTAGACTGGCCATCATCACAGACTAGCTACGGTCCGATAACCATCTCGAATGACATACAGCATATAATATATAGTGAATACTGACCATATGCACTTCCATCCCTTAGTACAAGATGATTAGGAGAATCTTTGAAATCCACTGCAACTCTGCTAGAAACTGCCAAATTCATTGTATTGATATATCCTGTTCAGAAATAATAAATCAAACTGAATGTGTAATTAGCATGTCAAATCTTTTGGGACTCCCTCCACTTGGAATTGTTTGCTAACATGAAGACCATCCACCTCTGCTATGCCATAAAGACTATAAATCCAGTCGAGCAGGCTTGCCTTTTTCACCTACATTAACAAGGTCACCACTAGGGGTCTCTGCACATTCATGCAAAATGTGAAATATAAGATCTAAAATCTTCAAGGCTAGTTTTCAATGTGATTCAGGTACTTGTAAGCTTGTTTTTGTACATACTATATTCAAACTTGAGGCTTAGAGAATTTGATAGGGATGGAATCAGACCGCTCCCTATTCAAAAGTCAAACCGGTTTTTTGGCAAGTTTTCATGCCACTGGATCGCAATGCTTCTCTAATTTCAACTGTTGTGCCACTGAGTAACAATACTAGTATAAGTTTTATTTACCAAGTCAACTTTGCAAACAATAGTACATTAAAAAAAATCTGGTAATGTCAAATCAGTACAGCATTCCACTATAATGTAAATAATTAAATGATGCAGCAAAAAAAGAATAAAATAAAAATAATGGGTTTGAAGTCAGGGATCAATTCTATCATTTATAATAGTTTTGTCTTGTTGATTTAAAAAACATCAATGTGAAAAGTAGTATCAAATATGTACAGAATATTCAAAGCTTTACAGCTAGTTAAGCTTAACTCAATTCAGCCAACTTCTATGCCAAAAATCTCTTGAAACTGGATTAAACATGTATTTAATTTTTCAAATTTAATATTTATATTCAATATTCTCAGATTTAAATAAATTTCATTTAAAAATAAATAAACAAATAAATAAAAAAGTATTTATATGTATAACTTCAACCTTCGGGTTTCAATATTTCAATAAAGATTATTATTATTATTATTATTATTATACAAAAAAAATATATATATATTGATTTGATATTTGGCTAAAGAGAAAATATATACATGTACTACAGTGAACCTTTTATTGCAACTGTGATGTAACTTAACTGCAATGTGATGGCAATACTGATACAGTGTATGTCAATCTCTGTGTTGAGTCAAATCAACAGCTGCAAGAAGAATACTTTCTAGTAAAAAGATACTATATAGAACTGTAATTAATATGTTAAACATGCTCTTTCTGTGCCCATTTACAATGATTTGTGAGGTAGTTTAGGCGAAGTTTGTGTGTGGTCTTTGACTCCGTTCACATGAAAAATCTATTTTCTAAAAATCTATTTTCTATTCGCGGTATCTTGTGATCACTCCGAGTGCAGCCGAGAATAAATTACAGCTTTGGAGTAACTGGCTCGCGCTGCCAGTAATTACGCCGCGGGGTATTCAGGGCACAGACCGTGGTCACAAGATACCTCGAACAGAAAATAGATTTTTAGAAAATAGATTTTTCATGTGAACGAAGCCTTTTTGTGTCTAGATATATTAATCTACATGTTTCGAATGATTGTACCTTTGTTATCTCTTCTATTCTGAATGCAATCTTATAGAACTGATGAAAAAAACACAGCTGCAAGCAACTCAGTAATACATCACAGGTGTGCATCCATTCTGAATCTGCATGGTTACATATACTGGGATTCAACAGGGGATGTCACAACATTCAATCTGACACATATCTCTGTGCTATCATTCATGTTTATACACAGCCACATGCCATTTCCATCAAGAAACACCTAGTATGAAAACCTAATGTTTTATTGTACATGTGTCCCTAAACTGTATGTTAAATACATGCAAACAAATGAAGACACTCACCTTTGTGCAACTAGCAGACTTACTTTTCTTTTAAATGTACACATGCATAAGAATTCAGACAAGCAATAAATCTCTTTAAACATGGGCCATTTATTTTAGAGGAATTAAAATTCCTATGGTTGCTAGCAAAATGAGACTAAATGCTGTGAAGCATAAGCATGATATTTTTCACTAGTATTTTTATTTCTACAATTTTACTAATATTTGATGTTCTCCAGTTTGATCACAAATTACCATTGAAGAAATATTTGTATTATGCTTTTGAAGTTTCATTTCATATAATTTTCATAACTTCTATGCCATCTGTTTAGAAAGAAAAGTCCATCAAAATAAATAATGCACTGACTGAAATAATGTTAAGAAATTTTCAATGAAATGTCGGACTGTATATTCTATCACATCTAAACCTGTTGAGTTGTCATGTTATTTTTATGCAATGATATACACAGGAATAAATGAGTGACAGAATGTATCAACTTCACAAACTAGCATAGTCAACTGACAGTAATTCAGTTGAAAACATTGAAATTTCCATTTTACTACCTACAGGCAAGCCCAGAGATTAGTCTCTATAGTTTAATGATATGACCTTTCAAAGAAGGCACTCAAGTCATCTGTCTAAATATTTATACAAAATTACATCTAACATCAAACTTATTGTTCAAAAAGGATGTTTTGGGGTCAAACTCCAGTTCTTTTCACATCACAATTTCCTGTCTAAAACAGTCCTGTCTGAAAAGATTATTTGGCTTATAAAATTCTTATTACCTGACTCTCTGTCATCATCCAACTCTGTCAAACGCTCAGTCAAGTTAGCTACAGCTGTGTTACGTTTTCCTTTCTGTAGTACTCCTCTGCGAGACATGTTTGGACTGATATAGCCTTTGTTTAAATGCTTTACTGTATAAGTCCCTCTGCAAGAGAATTCTCTTTGTAAATTTTAAAGAACTTTTCTAAAACAAAGTTATGCAGGAAAAATAAACTGACCATTTGGTAGAATTATTTTCAACTTATGCAATTACATGTACATAAAATGTGCTTGTTCAAATATGAAAACAAGAAAACTTTACTTACGTTCTTGAATAAGTGTAATCTGTCTTTGGTCTCCTGCAAAAAAGAAAAAAAAAAAAGACTCTAAAGAAAAAGATCACTAAATCTGAAAATCATCAAGCCATTTAGAAAAACTAGAATTTTACCACTTAGAAGTCCACAAAATGGATTAATATTTCATAGGAAGACACTCTCCCACCTAAAAACATAATACTTATATATAATGAAAGAAAAAAAAAATTCTGTATTAATCTTTGGGCCCACTACTTTGGGTGGGGTCCAAGAATAATCTCACTTGCCTTTCAAAGTCGTCTTGCTGATATGTAAACTTGGTTGGGGTGCTAACAACTTTACCATCAACTTCTACAACTGCAACTCTGTTGAAGAAAAAAAGGACTATTTCATTCTACTTTTAATGCAAAATAATAAAACTCTACACATAAGAAGAAAAGTAAAATGTGAAGCTCAGCTTTAAAGAAGAATGTTTATTTTTTCACCAACAGGAATATGTTGGTATCGCAAAAGGAGTCAGGCATAACACAACATAGAGGCTATTCAAATTCAGCTTTCCTCTGACACATAATACCAACTATTAGTCAATGTTTCAGCTATAATATGCACTTCTATATTGAATGCAGATATTGTGTGTGAATGGTTGTTCGATGCAAACCATTGCTTATGGTTATAATGACCATTCACTGCATCAATAGTACCATACAAGGCTAGTCAATTAATCAAATATTTACAACATTTAAATATCACATCTATTGCAGTTATGAGAACGAATCACATCTATTACAGCTAGGGAAACTGATCAAAACATATATGAGTAAAATGTCTATTTCATACATATATGTAACTGAACTTCATTGAAGAACCTCTATTAATACATATTTTTCTTTCAATAAGTTCACTCAACTGCTTCATTGTGTATTAAATCAAACAGCACTGGAAAACATTCCTTTGAGGAATCTACCACATTTAGAAGACCCTGGGCAGTTGCCTGACCTCTTTTGTTGTACTATTTTAGCAGGAATATTGACCATGCAAATAACACAGTCACTACATGCTAAACTTTTGCCTTTTACCAGTCCCTGTAAGCTAACATGGAGAATTTAATACACCATTTTCTATAAAACCCTACAATGGGTTAACATTTTCTACATGTACACATCAATCTGACCCTCTATAACATCTTTTACTTTCATTAATACTCAGTTCCTATCATGTAACAAAGAGAAAGAAAATATTCAGTTTCAACTCATCCTTACTCTCTTGATTCTAATCAGTGAATTTCAGTTGGCAACAAGTTGTAAAGGGGGAAAGGGGTAGAAAGAAATTTGTAAAATAATCCTTTCATTAATTTATTTATCATACCTACCTCTTGGGCATTTAATCTTAATTCACATAGTAATCTTTTATCTCTAAATAAATTTAATTTACCCACTATGATGATAATTAATCAGCATTCATTCCATAATAACACGTTTTAGCTGACCTAGCTACAGTCATTATGATAATCATCTTTAATTCCCATTAACCACCTATTTGGAGATGTCATGAGACGTCTAAACATTTAAATAATGATGGGATGGTCTTCCAACCCCAAATCAATACCCAGAATTGCATACTGCACTATAAGACTGTCATATTCAGCTTGCAGATTCTGACTACAGTAAACTTGTAGCATACGTAAATACATCTGCTCCATCCCCACTTCACAAAGAGCCCTTTCAATAGGAGGTTATTATTATCATTATTATTATATGCATGGAGAACTCCACAGGATAAGTGAGAGTTGGGGCCTATATAAGCATAAATGCAAACAATGAATGAATCATGAAATGAAAGGTTTTAAGCGCCAATTTCTACGACCTTTGACAGACTGCTAAAAGCGTCTTTATCAACACTATGAGATGGGACAAACACCTACTTGTTAATGGTCTTTAATTGCACCTTTCTGTGCCTGTCATCAGTTAAGGGATTGTGATCTGTCCCTCCACAGATGAAACAAGGGGCCATGATCTTCTTTGGTAACTTCATCTTGAGGATCTAAGCTCAAGCTTGATGGTTTCCACTCACTCTCTCACTCCATTACTATTATAAGTGACCTAGTTTGGGATCAATATCACCAATGGCTTCCTGCAGGCATCTTATTGGTCAATCTAACTATGGTAAGCCTAATACATATGCATTAAGGCTGGAGAGTTAGGCATTAACTTTAAATACTGACCTATGACATTTTTTTCTCTTTAATATACCTACACAAATTAAACGAAATTGAAATCAGGGGTACCTACAGACTTTTTAAAAGTGTATGAACCAGATTCCTATTATATGATGCCTTCTTAACCAAAGAGGAATAATTCAAAATCAAACAGATTAATCCAGGAAGTCTTTTCTTCCAAATAAATAAATAAATAAATAAATAAATAAATAAATAAATAAATAAATAAAAAGTTACGTACCAATCATAAATCATTATCATGTTGAAACATCAGTTCTATAGTATATGGTATACAAAATGAAGTTGTAATTGTTCCTTCCTGATAGTACTGGTACCTCAGTTAAATTGAATCCAACTCTTAATTATAATTTTTTAAAGAATTGGTAAGGATATTGAGATTGCAGGTGGGAAGCATCCACTACCAGTGCAAACTACCCTAAATTTCAGAGTACTCAAGAAACTCACCTCTATCGATCCTCAGCATGACCGTAACTGTTTTTAGTTAAGAATACACTGATAATTAAGGCACATGTTAAGCACATGTAAGGCACATGCACTGTGTGCTCAGTTTTTTAAAAAATACTAATGGACTTTTTAGATGCACTTTCATACAGTAGAGTAAAATGTTTATATATCAATTAATGGATACTAAACATATAGATCTGCTGTTGCAGTCAGTTCAAATATGTTTTATAAATAACACATATGTTAATCGTATACCCCACAAGGTATATTCAAAGATCAATAACCATGCATTCAAACCACCAACCTCCTACTACACTTGTCAACATTCAAACTGGTGAGTATTACTTCTTAATCTATACCACACAAATTTATCAAATAAAGTTTTTCTCCTTATTTACCTGGGTTTTTCCTGCTTACAAAACTGAACATCACAAAGATCTTAAGAAACACAACAGGGATCAGCTGTTGATCCTGGGAGCCCTGATATATCCCCAACAGTTGTATACATTTGAACCAGCAGTCATCAATGGATCATTCTAAGGACTCATGGGTAACTATTGTCCCAATTCCACTACTTGAACTACTATTGGTATTTCACTCCAATCATTACAAAATTGCTCATGCTGTCCAAGGCAAACAGCCTCCATTATGGATTCTATTGTTGTGTTTATTCATAATTTCAAACGGATCAGGTTATGTGATGTGCAAAAGCCAAAAGCATTTACCTTGAGTAAACAATACATTTTGAATACTACTCATAATGTCTATACTATACTACAGTTAAATTGAGCAGAAGGAATATTTGAACTAGAGTTGAATTGCAGCAAAATGGAAAAACAAATTGTGCTTTTGTTCATTATTTATTCATCATATTGATAATAAGCACAGTTTGTTACCAAGTTCGTACCCAGTAAATCAATTTAAGGGTAGAATTAAAGCTTACCAAACCTTTATTGCAAAACCATAGATATATTAAATTTATGCATACGGCATTGCAGGCTGATCAAAACTCAGTCTGTTATTTCCCCCCTGGCAACATTGCTAATGAAATAACCATATTACATGTAATATCAGTATGTGAACCTCCCTTACACACTTGTTTACTTGTTGAGACCACACAATGATATTTGCATTCATACTTTTCACATGCAAAAGGATAATATTAATTAAGACAATTGAAAACCTTTATATTTCCTTACATATCATTTCATATCAAAATGGTAAAAAAATGTATTTCAGACCCTTTTCTTGGTCATCAACAGCATTCAAAAATCTTCAGATGCAACAATTACTGACACCACGTGCTTAGAATCTGATGATGAAAATTGACTGAAAAAGCAACGGTTATTACCATCAGCAATGACTAAAATACGTATCCAATATACACCAAGTGCACTCAAAAATTCAACTGAAACCATGTTTCAGTGAAAATGGTGAGCGTTACATTGATTCACAATCAGCGTGCACATAAATCACTTGCCTTCAAGCCACACTCAAGATACAGAGACCTGCACGTGCAACCAAATCTCAGTTAAGACCAACGAAATTCTTTTACGAAAAAGAATTAAACTGTTTTTCAGTTATACTCAATATCACCAACACCTATTCTCACATACCAGTAGATGTATATGTAATTAAAATCAAAAATAGGTATACCAGAATGCAGTAGAGGTGCCTGCAGCAGCAGAGACCCACCTGTGACCAGTCTGCTGAGACAATTCAATTGACAACCAAAAGTTTCTCTCTATATAAGTATATGCTGTGTGAAAGAATAGAACATTTGTAATGTAATGCAACAAACCAAATGGAAATTGATCCAGGCAAAGTATTTTTTTAAGCAGCACAAAATACACATTTGCTCTAATATGGTTATTTAAAAACTGTGATATTTCCTTTAATTTGGGAGATAATTTCACAATTCCAAAATATAACATCCTGGATAAAAAGAACTTTCAGAAGATATAACTTGTGTTTATATCCGGCACATTCTGATAAACCTAATTGAAAATCAGAATTTATCCACAATAAAACTGGTCACACCAAACAGCCAAAGACACATACTACTCTAAGTCCACACTGACTCACCCACAGACGGTGGTTGCTTCACTTTACAAGCTTTTCTCTGCTACTTCCCTATGACTAAGGGCTTGAACTGAGACAAAGGCGGCGGGCGTCAGTGAAACTGACCGAGGATGTCAATCGTCCCGAGTGTATGCGCAAAATATTTCAGATAAGAATCGAATACTAACATAAGGTAACATAAATGTTCACTGAGGGTTTAGATCATGTAATGGCGCTAATTATGAGTGTCATGTGTTAATTACTTGCTTACCTTCAAATGTCAGTTATCAACTCAAAATTTCCTCCACTCAACTTTCGTATCTGCCAATAAAAATAAGGATAGATGGCGCCACGCAAGACAGAACAGCCAACAGATACCCCCCCCCCCCCTCTCTCTCTCTCTCTCTCTCTCTCTCTCTCTCTCTCTCTCTCTCGTTAACGTTAATATATTGACAATTTTATGTTTTCAACAGTTTCGGACCATTTGGAAACTCATTTGGATGTCAATTACAGATAACGTTAGATCTAGGCCTAACGTGTTAAATTTTAATTTTGGATGACATTTTGGTGATTTAGGCCTACACTGTGTTGAAAATAATACGTAGGGCCTAATTCGTTTTATAGAATTATGATGAAAAATTTGTTTGTTATATGACCCTACTATTGCATGTTTCCCAAGATTAAAAAAAAAACTGAGAGGACAATAATGATTGCACTGTCAGAGTCAGGTAAACTGCGTGCGATTCAATGTGAAACTATGAGAGCGTTCCCATAACCCTATCGTACTAGCTGGATCGATCTTACTCCTCGGGGATTCTCGCTTAATTGCATTCAGTTTAAGCAGCTTAAATGTCTGGTAACTTAAAGTAGACTACTTGTTTAAAGTTGGGAAAACTTTGTGGTTCATGGTGTTGTTAAATGTTCATGTTGTTTTGCGAAGGGGCGTGCCAGACTATTAAGCTGATTACATTGACTGCGCCTTAGCCAGAACCCCCTCTCAGATAAATCGATCCTGCTAGTAAGATAAGGTTGAAGAACTATTCTGTTGAAGAACTATAGAAGAGGGCCTTTCACATAAGGGTTATTTAACGCAAAGGCCACAAATCATTTTTTTATGAGAATCAAGTATAGACCTACTGAGCAAAGACTTTAAAAAAACAAATTCCTTTCCCTTTTTGTCCAGTAGTAGTCCTTAATCCTAAAACTAGGCCTCCAAACCAGCATCCTTTCCTCTCTAAAATGCTATCATACTGACGACAAAGACGAATTGGAGCGTTCAATCATTTAATCACTAACTTTTCTTATAAATATAAGAGTATTTATACTCTATTTCTCCTTACCGATCTTTACTTGTTTTCATTGCATTGTCTTTTGCGTGTTCACCAGCATTTTCCATTCTTATTACTCATTCCACAATATTTCCATAAAAAGCAATCTCTGTAAGCCTTGTTTTCAACAAAATATTTTTAAATACATCATACTTGGATCGCACCAAGAAGTTGTATGTGACCTCAACATTAAAAATTTCACAGGTTTTCCAACCACGAAAACGATTTCCACGCTTGTTGACCCTTCAGAAAATTAAACGTGCCCTCAATAACTCGCTGGGTTTTTACTTATTTGATTTTATTTGACTTATTACTTGCAATTAGTGAAGGCGTAATGAGCCCTTAACTTAAGCACATACACCTTTTATTCAAAAAATTGTCTTCGAATTTTAAGTGTTTGCAACATCCACTCCCTTTTTATTTTTAAAGCAAAGCGAAATCTTACTAAAGTAAAAATTCGTAAATTACTAAAAATAATCATGTTATCTTGATGTCTTAAGACCTACTTTACCTCAGTTGAAAAAAAAAGCAATACTACAGTAAAGTAACTTAGCATGTACCGGGGGCTTATACAAATTAAAATTACGTTTTATAAAGGTCATTTGTTGATCACAAAGGGCCCAAGTGGCCATCTTAAATTTGCCTATGATTCTTCAATGAAATTTAATTAATAACAAAGTCAATGGCACCAGAAGCATTAATTAACACCCTGTGTTAAAGTATTTGGCAAAATGTAAGTTTTCCATAATCTTGGCCAATTCAACTTGTCACAAATGAAGTCTGCTTCTTTTCTAGACTTTTCCGACTCTTCCGCAACCTCCTGGTAATTTTTCAGGATATCGCTACTGATGACGGACCCTCTTTGCGAATCTCGCGCCAAAGCCAGCGTGGCTAACCCCTTCAAGTCACGAGGCAATTCCAAGTGGTCGACAATGGCGTCACAGGCCACTGCAGTGTTGTTGACAAGATCCTCATAACGTATGGCTGCAACAGGGATTCCACTTGCAACGAAAGAAACGTACAGCGAACATGTT